AGATGGAGGATTAAAAACCATATGATCATCTCAATAGATGCATAAAAAGCATTCAACAATATTCAACACCCATTTGTGATTAAAAATTTAAAAACACTCAATAAAGTGGGTAGAGAAGGGATGTACCTAGACATAATAAAAGCCATATATGACAAGCCCACAGCTAACACCAAACTCAATGATTAAAAACCTGAAAACCACCCCCAGTAAAACCAGGAACAAAACAAGGATTCCCAGGTGCACCATTCTTATTCAGAAGAGGATTGGAAGTCCTAGCCAGAGCAATTAGGCAAGAAAAAAAGCAACCAAATTGGAAAGGAAGAAGTAGAATTGTCAATATTTGCAGATGACAAAACCGTAAAGGCTCCACCAGAAGCTATTAGAAATAACAAATACAATAAAGTTGAAGGATACAAACCCAATATACAAAAGCCTGTTGCCTTTCTCTACACTAAAAAAGAGCTAACAGAAAGAAAAATTAAGAAAATCCCATTTACAATCTCAACAAAAATGAAAAAATGCCTGGGGATAAATTTAAACAAGGAGGTGAAAGACCTGTGCATTGAAAACTATCATACATTATTAAATTGAAAACACAAATAAGTGGAAAAATATTCCATACTCATGGATTGGAAGAATTAACATTGTTAAAATGTCCTTATTACCTAAAGCAATCTATAGATTCAATGTAATCTCTATCAAAATTTCAACATTTTTCACAGAAAAAGAAAAAATTTCTAAAATTTATATGGAACCAGAAAACACTGAATAGCCAAAATGATCCTGAGAAAAAAAGAATAAAGCTAGAGATAGTACACTCCCTGATTTCAAATTATGTGTCAAAGTTATAGTGATCTAAGCAGTATGGTATTGGCAGAAAAGCAGATACATAGAGTCATGAAACAGAATTGAGAGCCCAGAAGTAACTCACACATACATAGGCAATTAACTTATAGCAAAGAACAAAAAACATGCAATAGAGAAAAGGTAGTCTATTCAGTAGTGTTCCATAAACAGTTGCACGCAAAGAAGTAAAACTAGACCTTTGTCTTACACAAAAATCAACTCAAAGTGGATTAAAGGCTTGAATATAAGACCTGAAACTACAAAATTCCTAAAATAAAACATAGGCAATACATTTCTTGGCATCAGTCTTAGCAACATCTTTCTATATATGTCTCTTCAGGCAAGGAAAACAAAAGCAAAAATAATTGGTATGACAAGTACTGAAAAACTTGTGCACAACAAAGGAAACTGTCAGCAAAAAGAAAAGACAACCAATTGCATGGGAGAAAATATTTGCAAATGATGTATCCAATAGAGGTTAATATCCAAAATATATGAAGAGCTCATATGACTCAAACTACAACAACAAAACACAAACAACCCATTTAAAAATGGGCAAAAGAACTATTTTCCAAAAAAGATATACAAGTGACCAATAGGTACATGGAAAGATGCTCAACGTCACTAATTATTAGGAAAATGCAAATCAAAACCACAATGAGATATCACCACACTGGTCAGAATGACTATTATAGGGGTTTCTCTTGTAACTAAGTGGTAAAGAGTCTGCCTGCCAAAGCAGGAGACATGGGTTCAATCGCTGGTCCAGGAAGATCCCACATGCCTGTGGGCCACAACTACTGAGCCAATATTCTAAGGCCCAAGAACCACAACTACTGAGCCCACGTGCCCTAGAGCCTATGTTCTGCAACAGGAGAAACCACCACAATGAGAGGCCCCCACACTGAAACCAAGAGTAGCCCCCAGTCTGCAACTAGAATAAAGCCCATGCAGCAACGAAGATCCAACGTAGCCAAAAATAAATAAATAAAAATTATTTTTTTAAAAAAACAATATTATAAAAAAGACAAGAAATAACACATTTTGGCAAGGAAGTAGAGCAAAGGAAATCTTTGTGCACTATTGGTGGGAATTAAATTGGTACAGCCACTTTGGAAAACAGTATGGGGATTCTTCAGCAAATTAAGAATAGAACTACCATATGATTCATCCATCCTGCTTCTGGGCATATATCCAAACAATATAAAAACACTAATTTGAAAAGATAAATGAACCCTTGTGCTGTTATTTACAATAGCCAAGATATAGCCAAGGATGGATGAAGAATAAGTGGTATATATACACAGTAGAGGGCTTCCCAGGTGGTGCTAGTGGTAAAGAAACCTGCCTGTGCAGGAGACATAAGAGATGTGGTTCCATCCCTTGATCAGGAAGATCCCCTGGAGAAGGGAATGGCTACCCACTCCAGTATTCTTGCCTGAAGAATCCCCCAGACAGGGGAGCCTGGTAGGCTACAGTCCATAGGGTTGCAAAAAGTCAGACATAACTGAAGCAACTTAGTACACATGTATGCATATACAATGGAATACTACTAAGCCACCAAAACATGTGAAATCTTGCTATTTGTGAGATGGACCTTGGGGATATTATACTAAGTGAAATAAGACAGAGAAAGACAAATACCCTATGATTTCACTTAATGTGTGGAACATAAAAAACTAATAAAAGCAAAATGAAAAAACCAAACTGGACAAAAAAATACAAATGCATAGATACAGGGAAAAGATTAGTAGCTTCCAGTTGCGGGGTGGGGGGTGGGAGAGGGCCAAATGGATAAACGGCTACAACTGTGTTAGGAAGAAAACTAAACTTTTGGTGGTGAGCATGCTGTAGTGTATAGAGAAGTAGAAACACTCTTGTACACATGAAACTTATATAATGTTTTAAATCATGTCACCTCAATCTAAAAATAATAATAGTAAATAAAAGGGGTTATTAGAAATCCTATATACAACAATAGGAAACAAAAGCACCTAGAAACAAGCTTTTTAAATGTGCTATATCTGTGAAGAAGAATAAAGTCTGCTAAGAGGCATAAATTAAGACTTGCATAAACAGTTATAATGCATACTTTAGATTGGAAAACTCAGATTGTAAATATGACCATTTTGCCCAATATAATCTATCAATCTAACTTAATCTCAGTAAAATGCCCAGCTATATTTCAGCATTGGGGTGGGGAGTTAGAAGATTCTTAAAGTTATCTAGAAAAATTAATGCAGAGGGGGGAAAGTTAAAATATGAAAAAGGTAAAATGAGTGGCCCTTATCAACTATTAAATATATTACATAATTAAAACAATTTGGTACTAGCATTAGAAAAGACTAACCAATGGAAATTCAAAAACAGATCAAACTACAGAGAAATTTGATTTAATATGATAAGAGAAACCTTTCAAATAAAATAGGAGAAAGATTATTCAATATATGGTGCTGGAAAAACTAGCTATTTTGAAAATGTATTAAAATGGTAATAAATTTTTGGTGCTGACCAAATACTAAGCACTGTTCTAAATGTTGTACATATATTAACTCATTTAATCTTTCTAAAAATCCTCTGACATTGGTAGTACTATTCTATTCATTTTACAAATGAGGAAAATAAGATACAGAAAGGTTAAGTGAGTTTGCCAAGCTACACAGCTAGTCAGTGACAAAGCCAGGATTCTATTAAGAGTTAAATATTTAAAGGCAAAAATTAATAACCATTAAAAATGCATTTCTTTTCCAAAGAAGACATACAGATGGCCAATGGCACATGAAAATATGTTCAACATCACTAATCATCAGACAAACACAGATCAAAACCACAATGAGATATATCACCTCACACCTGTCAGAATGGCTATCATCAAAATGACTGCCAAACAAATGTTGGAACAATGTGGAGAAGAGGGAACCCTTGTACACTGTTGGTGGGAATGTAAAACTGTTGCAGCCACTATAGAAGACAGTATGGAGGATCCTCAAAAAACTGAAAAAAAGAATTATCATATGATTCAGCACTTCTACTCCTGAGAATATATCCAAAGAAAACAAAACACTAATTTGAAAGGATACATGCACCCCAATATTCACAGCAGCATTATTTACAATTGCCAAGATATGGAAGCAACCTAAGTGTACATCAACAGATGAATGGATAAAGAAAATGTGGATTATTAGTCATACACACAATGGATTATTAGTCATAAAGAAGGATGAAAATTTGCAAAGCATGGATGAACCTGTAGGTTATTATGCTTATAAGCTGCAGTGTCAGACAGAGAAAAACAGATACTGTGTGTTATCTCTTATATGTGAAATCTAAAAGGTGAAACAAAGGAATGAATATAACAAGCTCTGAGGAAACAGATTCAAAGATACAGAGAACAAACTAATGGATATCAGTGGTGAGAGGAGGAAGGACAATATGGGGTAGGGGACTAAGAGGTACAAACAACTATGTATAAAATAAGCTACAAGGACATATTGTACAGCCCTGGGAATATAGCCAATACTTTATAGTAACTTTAGTTAGAGGATAATCTATAGAACTTTTGTATCACTATGTTGTACACCTAAAACTAATATAATATTGTAAATCAACTATACATCAATTTAAAAACAGAGCCACTCCATCCCCACACAGGGAAGGTGATAGGACCCTCTGTAGGGCCACACCTGCATCCTGCAATTGAGCAGCACCTTGTTGGCTGGCAGCCTCCATTGTGAGGTAGCTCTGATTTCCCCCTTACCAAAGAGAGACAAGTCCTGAGCCTGGCCCCACATCCGGGCACCAGGACCTCCAGTCCAATGGTGTCTTCTTCCTCTCAGCCACACGGTTCACTTTGCCCTAAAGCACTAAGGGCTGAACTGGAAGCAGCTGAAAGTCCAAGCAAACCCTGGTGTGTGACCGGGCAGTCACAAGGGACACTGAGGACCATCCTGAGATGAGACTCTCGTAAGTCCCCAAAGCCAGGCAAGGCCTGTAATCAACATCAGCTTCCCCCTGTCACCAGCGCCCGGACCAGCTCAGGAATTGGGAGCCAGCTTCTCAGGCCTGCAGCCTCGGTTTCTCTGGAGAAAAACCCATGGGAGACTGGTTCAAGGCTGTTACAAGCCTTAACCCTCAGCCATCATCCCCCACCCACCATGTTGAAGATCTCATTACTTGCAAAGGACAACAACAGCAAGCCCAAGTCCTTGGATGAAGGGGCCAAGTCACTCTCGGAAAGTAATGGTGTCACTTCAGAGAGGATCCATCTTGCAGAGGAAGCCAATGGATTGTCGTAAGTGGCCACACTGCCCTTCCCCATCTGAGGTCAGGCACTGCTGCCTTCATGGCACTGGGCCACATATAACCCCACTGAACAGGAGACACATGGATTAAAGATGAAACCTTTAGAATCTAAAAAGTTTTACCTGTGTCAAACTTTTTCACAAGTTTTGCAAAAAACATAGGTAGTCATCCCCAACGTGAACTTCTTGCTTCCAGGAACAGTTCTATACCAGGCTGCTCTTTCTTCAACAGTTTCTATCTCAGTCTGGCTGCTTTCCACTCCTTCAACAACTGCTATTATTCATATTCTCTCTCCCTTCTTCTCTGTCTCCCCACTGCCCCCTTCCTTCCTCATACAAACCCATCCAGAAGATAAAAGTTCACCTCCTAGCCCTATGTCCCTACTTTTACTGCCATAAACTCAGACACATGGCTCTTTTCCTTAGGGCTTTATTGCCAGTTAGACTATTAATTAGTAATCATATCAGATAATATCCATGGCATAAAGAGATTATAAATGACAATACCCAGTGTTGATAAGGATGTCAGGAAATGCCCACTTTCATGTTGTTTTGGGAAGAATTAAATTGGATGGCAATGCTGTAATGTATGTCAAGTCCTAACACATATTTATATAAAACATACAAGTATTTGGCATATTTTTTTTTAAAGTACACACACACACACAACTGGCTGTAGTGGCTGCCCTGGCTAAGAGAATTGAGAGACTGAGCGGCAGATAGAAGAGACATTTATGTTCACTATATAAGGTATTTTTGGTTCTTCTTTTGTTTTACCTTTTTAACTTCATACTGTGTTACTTAGGATTTTTTAAGTATAAGTAACTATGAATAAATAAGTTCTTTGATCAGTAATACCATTCCAGGAATTTTTCCTAATGAGATAATGACACAGGTATGCGTGATAATTTTATTGAAGCCAGATCTTGACTTCAGATCTGGTTGTGATATTGACACTTCAAATGCAATAAGTGATTATTTAAATAAAGTATGATAACATAAGTGTTTGGAGGGGCCTTCCAGGTGGCACTAGTGGTAAAGAATCCACCTGCCAATACAGGAGACCCAAGAGATGCAGGTTCAATCCTTGGGTTGGGAAGATCCCCTGGAGTAGGGAATGGCAACCCACTCCAGTATTCTTGCCTGGAAAATTACATGGACAGAGGAGCCTGGCAGGTTACAGTTATCCGGAAGCCCAGAGTTATCCAGGCTTCTCAGGTGGCTCAAGTGCTAAAGAACCTGCCTGCCAATGCAAGAGACACAGAGATGTTGAGTTCGATTCCTGGGTCAGGAAGATCCCTTGAAGGAGGAAATACCCACTCCAGTATTCTTGCCTGGGAAATCCCATAGAGGAGCCTGACAGGCTACAGTCCAGGGGGTTTCTCAAAGAGTAAGGCACAACAGCACCGCACAGCAGTAGCAGCAGCAGGGAGTTATCCAGGATGATAGCAGTGGTTATTAACTTTTTATTCAGAGCCCAGTGTGTGGTAGGCTTCCCTGGTGGCTCATATGGTAAAGAATCCACCCGCAATGCAGAAGACCTGGGTTCAGTCCCTGGGTTGGGAAGATCCCCTGGAGAAGGGAATGGCAGCCCACTCCAGTATTCTTGCCTGGGAAATCCCATGGACAGAGGAGTCTGTCGGGCTGCAGTCCATGGGTTCACAACTGAGCGGCTAAGCACAGCACAGCACAGTGTGGTGCATACTTGGTGAGTCACCTGAACTAGCACCAGCTCTGGATCAGAGGTTGCAGAACAGATCCTGGGAACTGAGAGTAAAACGGCGAGTCCATTTCATCTGATTTTGTCCATCTTCCCACCAGAGGGTGCTGGAGAGACTGAAAGAAGCCTGAGCGCTGGGTCACGTTTTCTTCCACTAACATACCCTTTTGTTGCCCTATGCTTCCCCTACAGGATGATGCAAACCTTGATTCATTTACTGAAATGCAACATTGGCACAGGGCTCCTGGGACTTCCTCTAGCCATGAAAAATGCCGGCTTATTGGTAAGATGCACCTGTGGGATGGGAACCACGTCTCCCCATTTAAGGGAAAGGGCTGCCAGGCTCCTACAGCCTTAGCATTGTTTATCAATGGGCAATTTGGGAGCACTCTTTGCAATGGAAAATGAACCTGTTGGCATCAATCCTCTGGAGCCAACCTGGAGCTAAATGGAACATGCCTGGAGGGGACAGGCCATATTTTCCCCAATTTTATTGAGATATAATTGACAACCACCTCTATATTAATTTAAGGTATACTGTGTATCCTGGAGGAGGGCATGCAACCCACTCCAGTATTCTTGCCAGGAAAATCCCATGGACAGAGGAGCCTGGCTGGCTCTATGGTTCTCCCCAGGGTCACACAGAGTCTGACATGACCGAAGTGACTTAACCACACATACTGTGTATACTGTAAAATGATTACCGCAATAAGTTTAGTTAATATCTATCTCCTCATATGATTATAGAAATAGGTATTGTTTTTCCTTGTGATGAGAACTTTTAGGATCTACTCTCTTTGCATCTTTCAGATATACCATATAGCAGTGTTTACTACAGTTGTCATGTTGTACATTACATCCCCAGTACCTATTTATCTCATATTTGGAAGTTTGTTACTTGTGACCACCTTCATCCAGTTCCCCCTCCCCACCACTATTCTTGAAGTTATTCACCATAACTCTCATACTAATTCAGAATCTACTTTGCCACAGTTCTCCCAACTCCCTAGGATTATATCCTTGCCATTGCATTCATTGATATCAGCAGCCTGGCACCTCCAGGCATTTCAGTGTGTAACTGCTGTTTCCATCCATTTGATTGTGAGAAAGTAATTTTGGAAGATGAGAGTGACAAAAGCTCCACCAATCCCATGACACTTCCTATGCCCTCCCACCTCTGTCCTCTATCTTATGCTGTTCCCATCACACTTCCGTCTTTTGAAATCCCCCTCCTCTGTAAAATTTTAAAAATCCCAATTCTTGATTTCCCTTTCTGAAGTCCTCTGAAATCCCCTTCCTCTGTCTCCTCTTAAAATTCCTTCACCTTGTATTTTTCTAGAACTTATAGCTATCTAACCTGGAATTCTTACAGCACTTACAACGATGGAACATGCTCATTTTTTTACATTCCCACCTTCCTCACTTACCTGAAATCTCTGAAGGCAGGAACTCTCTGATTCATCTTTACACCCTCCTTTACACAGTACCTACTGTAGATACTGGCACACTGAAAGTTTCAGTTTGTTCTACAGAATTGAATAGATAGATGATTTCAATTTAGTTGAAGCAAATTTCTCCTTCTTGCCAAGCCTGTAAATGGCCCTCGTGTCTAAAAAAGGCACATTGAGACCCTGGCTTCTGACATGACTTCCAGTCTGTATCAGTTCCAACAGAGATGTTTCCCCGTTTAGAATTCTCAGGGTTCTGGAACTTTTGAAGAACATTATTAGCACATGGCCCTCAACCAGGCTCTCTTTGCGGGTGCAGTCTTTGCTTTTTAAGACAACTCCTTTATCCTTTGGTTTTTGCTTCCTAAGAGTTATTAGGTGATTTCTTTATCCTCCAAGTCCCATCAGAACCTCTAATCATGATTCATTTGAGAAATACATGTTTAGCATCTATTATTCTTTTTTTTTGTCATTTATTTATTTTTATTAGTTGGAGGCTAATTACGTCACAATATTGGAGTGGTTTTTGTCATACATTGACATGAATCACCATGGATATACATGTATTCCCCATCCCGATCCCCCCTCCCACCTCCCTCTCCACCCAATCCCTCTGGGTCTTCCCAGTGCACCAGGCCTGAGCACTTGTCTCATGCATCCAACCTGGGCTGGTGATCTGTTTCACCCTAGATAATATACATGTTTCGATGCTGTTCTCTTGAAACATCCCACCCTCGCCTTCTCCCACAGAGTCCAAAAGTCTGTTCTATACATCTGTGTCTCTTTTCTGTTTTGCATATAGGGTTATCGTTACCCTCTTTCTATATTCCATATATATGTGTTAGTATACTGTAATGGTCTTTATCTTTCTGGCTTACTTCACTCTGTATAATGGGCTCCAGTTTCATCCATCTCATTAGAACTGATTCAAATGAATTCTTTTTAATGGCTGAGTAATATTCCATGGTGTATATGTACCACAGCTTCCTTATCCATTCGTCTGCTGATGGGCATCTAGGTTGCTTCCATGTCCTGGCTATGATAAACAGTGCTGCGATGAACATTGGGGTGCACGTGTCTCTTTCAGATCTGGTTTCCTCGGTGTGTATGCCCAGAAGTGGGATTGTTGGGTCATATGGCAGTTCTATTTCCAGTTTTTTAAGAAATCTCCATACTGTTTTCCATAGCAGCTGTACTAGTTTGCATTCCCACCAACAGTGTAAGAGGGTTCCCTTTTCTCCACACCCTCTCCAGCATTTATTGCTTGTAGACTTTTGGATAGCAGCCATCCTGACTGGCGTGTAATGGTACCTCATTGTGGTTTTGATTTGCATTTCTCTGATAATGAGTGATGTTGAGCATCTTTTCATGTGTTTTTTAGCCATCTGTATGTCTTCCTTGGAGAAATGTCTGTTTAGTTCTTTGGCCCATTTTTTGATTGGGTCATTTATTTTTCTGGAGTTGAGCTGGAGGAGTTGCTTGTATATTTTTGAGATTAATCCTTTGTCTGTTGCTTCATTTGCTATTATTTTCTCCCAATCTGAGGGCTGTCTTTTCACCTTCCTTATAGTTTTCCTTTGTTGTGCAAAAGCTTTTAAGTTTCATTAGGTCCCATTTGTTTATTTTTGCTTTTGTTTCTAATATTCTGGGATGTGGGTCATAGAGGATCCTGCTGTGATTTATGTTGGAGAGTGTTTTGCCTATGTTCTTCTCTAGGAGTTTTATAGTTTCTGGTCTTACATTTAGATCTTTAATCCATTTTGAGTTTATTTTTGTGTATGGTGTTAGAAAGTGTTCTAGTTTCATTCTTTTACAAGTGGTTGACCAGTTTTCCCAGCACCACTTGTTAAAGAGGTTGTCTTTTTTCCATTGTATATCCTTGCCTCCTTTGTCGAAGATAAGGTGACCATAGGTTCGTGGATTTATCTCTGGGCTTTCTATTCTGTTCCATTGATCTATATTTCTGTCTTTGTGCCAGTACCATACTGTCTTGATGACTGTGGCTTTGTAGTATAGTCTGAAGTCAGGCAGGTTGATTCCTCCAGTTCCATTCTTCTTTCTCAAGATTACTTTGGCTATTCGACGTTTTTTGTATTTCCATACAAATTGTGAAATTATTTGTTCTAGTTCTGTGAAAAATACCATTGGTAGCTTGATAGGGATTGCAAACGGAGACCAAAAGAAAGCAGGAGTTGCAATACTCATATCAGATAAAATAGACTTTCAAATAAAGGCTGTGAAAAGAGACAAAGAAGGACACTACATAATGATCAAAGGATCAATCCAAGAAGAAGATATAACAATTATAAATATATATGCACCCAACATAGGAGCACCGCAATATGTAAGGCAAATACTAATGAGTATGAAAGAGGAAATTAATAGTAACACAATAATAGTGGGAGACTTTAATACCCCACTCACAACTATGGATAGATCAACTAAACAGAAAATGATCAAGGAAACACAAACTTTAAAGGACACAATGGACCAGCTAGACCTTATTGACATCTATAGGACGTTTCACCCCAAAACAATCAACTTCACCTTTTTCTCAAGTGCACACGGAACCTTCTCCAGAATAGATCACATCCTGGGCCATAAATCTAGTCTTGGTAAATTCAAAAAGATTGAAATCATTCCAGTCATCTTTTCTGACCACAGTGCAGTAAGATTAGATCGCAATTACAGGAAAAAAATTATTAAAAATTCAAACATATGGAGACTAAACAACATGCTTCTGAATAACCAACAAATCATAGAAGAAATCAAAAAAGAAATCAAAATATGCATAGAAATGAATGAAAATGAAAACACAACAACCCAAAACCTATGGGACACTGTAAAAGCAGTGCTAAGGGGAAGATTCATAGCATTACAGGCCTACCTCAAGAAACAAGAAAGAAGTCAAATAAATAACCTAACTCTACACCTAAAGCAACTAGAGAAGGAAGAAATGAAGAACCCCAGGGTTAGTAGAAGGAAAGAAATCTTAAAAATTAGGGCAGAAATAAATGCAAAAGAAACTAAAGAGACCATAGCAAAAATCAACAAAGCTAAAAGCTGGTTTTTTGAAAAAATAAAAAAAAACTGACAAACCATTAGCAAGACTCATTAAGAAACAAAGGGAGAAGAACCAAATTAACAAAATTAGAAATGAAAATAGAGAGATCACAACAGACAACACTGAAATACAAAGGATCATAAGAGACTACTACCAGCAGCTCTATGCCAATAAAATGGACAACTTGGAAGAAATGGACAAGTTCTTAGAGAAGTATAACTTTCCAAAACTGAACCAGGAAGAAATAGAAGATCTTAACAAACCCATCACAAGCAAGGAAATCGAAACTGTAATCAGAAATCTTCCAGCAAACAAAAGCCCAGGACCAGATGGCTTCACAGCTGAATTATGCATCTATTATTCTTAAGCTCTGGGAATATAGATGTATACAAGACCGAAAAACAGTCTTCTGCTATATGAAGGCTACATTCTGGTGAACTCTAGTGGTGCTCTTCATCTCTCATTTGTTTCTTCATGATACTGTTAGCATATGTCGCATCTATAAAGGCACAGGTGTCCAGCACAAAGAGGGTGAGAGAGTCCCTCTTTGCTCTCTGCCCTGTGATCACACTTGGGAGATAATGATTAATAATGAGGCCTGCTTGGACTTCCCTGGTGGTCCAGTGGTAAAGACTCTGTGCTTCCACACTGTAGGGGGCACAGGTTTGATCCCTGGTCGGGGAACTAAGATCCCAACGCAGCATGGCCAAAATATAATAATAATGAGCCCTACTTTTTAATCTTGTGTGTCTGGGCCATCAGGGAAGCCTCACTTTATAATTTCATCACATATTTTAAAAATGGAGACCATGTGAGGAGAAGACTTGTTCATTAGCTTGATTCTAGTAATCATTTCTGTGTGTATGTATATCAAATCATGTTGTTCACTTTAAGTACATACAATTTTTAGTTAAAAAAATAAAATGTAAGGACTTCCCTGGTGGTCCATTGGCTAAGACTGTGCACTCCCAATGCAGGGGGCCCAGGTTTGATCCTGTTTGGGAAACTAGATCCCACATGCTGCAACTGAGAGTTTGTATGCTGCAACTATGACCTGGAGCAGCTAAATAAATAAATAAATAAAAATACTTTAAAAAATATGCAGAAGACACAGGTTCTATACCTGGGTCAGGAAGATCTCCTGGAGAAGGGAATGGCAACCCACTCTAGTGTTCTTGCCTGGAGAATCCCATGGACAGAGGAACCTGGCAAGCTACAATCCATGAGGTTGCACAGAGCTGGACCCAACTGAGTGACTAATATACCCTAAGACATTTACAATGTCTAGAGCCAGTCTTGGTTGTCACAAATTAAGGTGGAGAGAGAGGGAGTGCTTCTGAAATCCAGTGAGTAGAGGCCAGGGATGTTGCTAAATAAACCACAATGTAAAGGACAGCCCCCTGCAACAGAAACATCAGCTGGCCCAAAATGTCAATAGTGCCTCTTTTGATAACCCCGTACTAGGAGAAGAAAACTAATCCTTAAGAGGAACCTTGGTCTTCAAGCATCTTGGAGGAGGTAAGGGCTGGGATATGAAAAGGAATGAGGGTTCTCAAGTGGAACTAAAGGCAGATGAGGAAAGGCATGGGCTGTCTGGGAGGTAATGAGCTCTTTGTTATCAGAAGTATTCTAGCACAGGTCAGACAGCCACTTTGCAGTGATGCTAAGAAGAGCATTCAAGCCAGAGCATGTCGGGGTACAAGGACATTCAGGCAGGGGCTGTCATCTCGGGTTCTCATCCCCAAATCTCTGTTATAAGAGGGACCCCAGCACCTCAGCAGAGAGAGGGACAGGTATGGGAGCATCCGTTTGCGGCTCACTGTGCCCACCTCTCCATTCCCCTCCAGGTCGGTCCTTTCAGCCTGCTGGCCATCGGGATCCTCACCGTGCATTGCATGGTCATCCTGCTGAATTGTGCTCAACACCTAAGTCAGAGGTGAGAGTTCTGCTTCTTTATCTCTATCATCTGTATCACCAAATGGCACCACGTAACACTTAAGGGTGTGCTAAGTTTCCCTGGATCACTGACCCAATTCCCAGTTAGCTGGCCACTTCTCCAGGCCACCACCCCTGCTGCTCTGAGGCGGTGAAGGGAGTGATTAAAATCCTACTGGAAACTCCCAAGTTCCAGGCACAGCTCTGCTGCTGACTAGTTGGAGCACTTTGCCAAGCTCCTGTAAGCCCAAATATCCTTTCCTAGAAAGATCAGAAGTAATAAGAAATGCAAATTTGTTCTATACACACCCATGTGTATTCGAGATACTTCCTCTTAATCTCTCCACCTTCCACCTCCTGGTCTTCCCCCAGCTCCAATACACACACCTTGGAAGGGAAATTTATTCCAAGTAAGACCTTTATGGGACAATTTAGTAATAGTAAAAAAAAAATAGCAATGAGATGAATAATTCACAGTGATTTCAATCTCTAATAAAGCATATATGCATAACAGTGTTTATATATTTAAAACTTTAATGTAAAACAAAATTCCAGAAAGAAAGGCAAATGCAGTGAAAGCAAACAATGCTGAGAATTTCGTATATATCAACTAGCAACTCACAGTAATTAGCAATTCCTTACAGCCACAGCCTGGAGATTTTCTCTCCACAGGACTCAGCTGCTCCCAAGGCAGGCAAATCTAAATATGTCCTCATAATTGTGCCAAAAGGCCTTGTGAGTCAAAGTAGAGATGTTAAATGAAGCTCCTCATAAAGTCAAATTATCATAACCCAAATAGGTGTATCTGGAGTATGTATCAGTCACACCTAACTTGTGTAGTACTTTCCAGCTCATGAAACACTGTTAAGAGCATTTACTCATTTAGCAATTAAATTTATTGCACAATTACATTGTTCCAGGTACATGGCAAGAGCTTTGCAAGCCTTCTTTTATTTATTCCTTACAGTAAAATTTTATAGTAGGCACCATTATTCCCATTTTACACATGAGTAAACTGAGGCTTGGGAGAGTTAAATGCCTTGCTGAATGTCACACAGCTAGGAAGTGGCAGAGCTGGTATTCCAAGACCTGTCTGACTCTACTCCTTAACCTATCTGCAAATCTTTTTCTTCCCTCAAGCCTGCTGGGACCATTTTACCACCATACAGCCTTTTAATATATGTCATTTATTATAGCCTTTCCCTGACTTTTGTTTTTGTTGATTTGTTTTTTCTTTTCCTAATATAGGGTTACAGATTCACATTAGCTTTTAGATATATTATGGAGGACTTTTACAGTTTTTTTGGCTTTTTGTATTTAGCCAACATTTAAAAACCTGGAGATTTCACATTAAAAAAAAAAAAATCTGCACCTTCTTGCCAGTTAGACATTCTGCTACCTCTGTGGCTTCATTCCTGTATCATTCAGCTAGAGCCACATCCTGACCAACCCCTCTGGAACAGGACATGTACCAGAGCCTTGACCTCTGTCTCCACGATTCCCTGTTTTGTCTCACACCCAGTCATTCTCACCACAATACTGATACCTTTCTGGTCCCCATTGCTTTTGAATTTGCAATCCTCAGCCTAATATTCTTACCAGTCCTATGCAATGTAACCTCATCTGTATTTGAAATGCCCAGCACATAGAATAATAATAAAAACAGCAGCATCGTGCCATGTTCCCAGTGCATCACCATATCCATCTCTCACTCTCTTCTCCCCAAAACCCAGACTGCATGTGAAGAAAAAAACTGAAGCCCCGAAGCATAAAGAGACTTGCTCAAGGTCTCCTGGCCATCTGAGGGGGATGTGTTGTTACTTAAACACTGGTTTCCTGACAAGTCTGGGTCTCTTTCCCTGTCCAAGTTACTCCCCTCAGTCATGCAATTAACTCCAGGGACTTAGGCAACTTGCTCCCACTTGCTTTGTCAGCAGTGCTCCAGAGGGCCTCCGCCTCTCTTAGGAAGGGCCGCCTGGCGAAGGAGGGATGGGGGAAGAGGGATGGGCTAGAACTGGGGTGTCACATCTGACAGAGGTGCTGGGCAGGAGGCTAAAGATCACCTTTGCATGGGATCTGGTCCAGGGCAAGCATCTTAAATGTTCCAGCACCCTCAGAAGTGAAGAAGGGAATGTCAGTTCAGAAAAGGTAGAACCACTCTCTTGGCCATACTTACACCTCATTCCCCTCTCTCCCCCTCCCACTGACTAGGTCTGCACACCTCACAGCTTCCACATCCTCACTGTCCTTGTTTGCTGACCTAATCAAGTCCAAGCTACTGGCCACCTAAATAATAATAATAATACTCTCCACTTAAAAATTAGTGTTAATAAAGACAACTACAAAAAATAAGAGGCAGAATTCTAAAACTTTTAAAAGTGTACCATTATAAAATAACTCAATGATACCATTGCTAGAAAATTACCAAAATGTTCCATATTAATACATGAACATATAGTAATTACTCCCTTTGGGAATAAATTGTACTTAAAAAAAATTAAGGTGTGCATTGTTTGTCCGTTCTTTAGGCTGCAGAAGACTTTTGTGAACTATGGAGAAGCCATGATGTACAGCCTTGAAACCTGCCCAAACGCCTGGCTGAGAACACACTCAGTGTGGGGAAGGTAGTAGTCCTAGACATAACAAATGAATGAATGAATGAAAGTCACTCAGTCGTTTCTGACTCTTTGCAACCCCATGGAGTCCATGGAATTCTCCAGGCCAGAATACTAGAGTGGGTAACCTTTCTCTTCTCCAGGGGATGTTCCCAACCCAGGGATCGAACCCAGGTCTCCGGCATTGCAGGCAGATTCTTTACCAGCTGAGCCACAAGGGAAGCCCAGATATCAATGGAGTAGTAGTAATAATAACAACAGCAGCCATAATAATGCTCACCTGTTCTTCCTTTACTGCTAGTACATTGCATGTGCATGCTCAGTTGTGTCCAGCTTCTTTTTGACCCCGTGGACTGTAGCCCACCAGGCTCCTCTGTCTATGGGATTTCCCCGGCAAGAATACTGTAATGTGCTCTTTTCCGGTTATCACGGTGTAGGGAACCATGAGCAGCAAAGTCTCCCGCGACACCCTCTATGAGGTGGTGCGGGAAATCCTGCACAGGAACCAGCGCAAGCACAGGAAGTTTTTGGAGACTGTGGAGCTTCAGATCAGCCTGAAGAACTATGACCCTCAGAAGGACAAACGCTTTTCGGGCACCGTCAGGCTTAAGTCCGCTCCCAGCCCCAAGTTCTCCATATGTGTCTTGGGGGACCAGCAGCATTGTGATGAGGCCAAGGCTGTGGATATCCCCCACATGGACATTGACACGCTGAAGAAACTCAACAAGAGTAAGAAACTGGCCAAGAAATACGATGCCTTTTTAGCTTCAGAGTCTCTGCTCAAGCATATTCCCCCGAATCCTGGGCCCAGGCCTGAACAAGGCTGGCAAGTTCCCTTCCTTGCTGACCCACAATGAAAACATGGTGGCCAAAGTTGATGAAGTGAAGTCCACGATCAAGTTCCAGGTGAAGAAGGTGCTATGTCTGGCAGTGGCTGTTGGCCACATGAAGATGACAGATGATGAGCTTGTGTACAATATCCACTTAGCTGTCAACTTCCTGGTGTCATTACTCAAGAAAAATTGGCAGAATGTCAGGGCCTTGTACATTAAGAGCACCATGGGCAAGCCCCAGCGTCTGTACTGAGGCACAGCTTAATAAACCATACTAAACCAAAAAAAAAGTAAGAATACTGGAATGTGTTGCCATCTCCTTCTCCAGGGGATCTTCCCAACCCAGGGGTTGAACCTATGTCTCTTTTGTCTCCTGAATTGTCAGGTGGAGTCTTTACCACCACACCACCTGAGTAACAAGAGTTTTAAATGAATGTTTTTATTGAAAACTATTGACCAATATAGAGAATCTCCTCTGATAGCTCTATCCCCCATCCCACTCTTCATTCAAGAAGTAATCTCTGGGACTTCCCTGGAGGTTCAGTGGTTAGGACTCTGGGCTCTCACTGCCAAGGGCCCAGGTTCAATCCCTGGTCAAGGAAGTAAGATCCCACAAGCTGTGCAGTGTGGCCAAAAATAAATAAATAAAATGAAAGCACTGATATCTAGTTAGTAAATATTCCTCCAGACTTTCTCTCTGCATGAACAGGATATGTGTGTGCAAGTGAAAATATATATTTTGTATTTTCTTGTATATTAATTGGAATATTTATTGGAAATTTGCTCTTTCATCTAACATTATGTCTCTAATTTCTTCCACATTGGGACATACAAATTGACTTCCTTGTATTGTAAGGCTCACAATGTTCCCCATCCATATAGATGGATCCTGTGGTTTTATTTAATCCTCCTCCTAATAGTCAATATTACAATTTAGCTTGTACACTTATTGGATAAAAACACTATGGTATACAAAATGCTTTCCTGTATCTGATCGCCTCTGATCATTTCAGTGACCTTGTGAGGTAGGTGGTACATCTTTATTGGGAAGAAATATGGTGACCAAGGCTCACAGAGATAGAATAACATGTCTAGGGTCAAAGACACAGATAGTAGAGAAGCAGAGTTTCAAGCAAGCACCTAACATGTTAGCCTTTCCCAGCAGAGCCCTCACCTGCCAAGTTCCCTCCTGCAACTCCTCTCTTGAGAATGTCAGGAATCACTCTGATTGTCAGATGGGAGAGGCACAGGGCAGTAATCTCACAATTGTCCATCCTTTCTCACTAAGTTATCAGCTTCTGATGACACTCTGAATAGAACTTTCAGGCAAGAAGTCACCTTGAAGATCAGTGTATCTATGTCTATTCAAATGGAAGAAAATGAAGACCAGATAGAGCCATAAGTTTGGTTTAAGTTTCCCAGGAATCTAATGGCAGAGCACAGACTGAAATCTAGAACATTTAGCTCTAACCCACTACACTATGCCATTTCTCTGGGGCAATGAGAAAGAATGCCAGTAACTGAGAAAGAATTAGGGAACTATTTTATTTAAACCAATAATTTGTCATCTTTAGTGTGCTAAGAGATACCTGGGGAGTTTGATTAAAAACTATCTATTCCATGTAAGCAACAATCCTCGTTGTGAAAGGTCATTGGAAAATGATAAAGGAAGAATACACAGGCATCACCTGACCCCTTCTAGTCATCTCATGTTTGGACATTGGTCAACAGACATAATGTGTCTTATAGTAGGATTCAATAGGGAGTACAGAGAGCCACCTCTGAAATACCCTTGCCCAAAACAGAAAGGAAGAACCTCAATCTTATTAAACCACTAGATCTAATATCAGCTTATAGGAAATATAGGAGATAGAAGAACAAGGTAAATGACATTATGAATTTATCAACTGAATCTAGAAAGTTAAACACACTACAAGGAAATTTTCTGGTATCTTCAACACCAACCAAAAAAATTAAAATTGCAAGAGAAAAAAATAAACAAGGCAAGGGGAATATAGCAGATTAAAAAACTTGAAACTTAATAACAAAATGGAACATAGAGACTTGTTTAGAAACCAACTCTGAAATAGATATTTTTGAAAAAAAATTGGAAAAATTTGACTATGGTGGAATAGTAAATGAAATAAGAAATTATTGTGAGACTTCACTAGTGGTCCAGTAGCTTAGGCTCCACGCTTCCCATTCAGGGGATCCAGGTTCGATCCCTGGTCAGTTCGATCCCTAGATCAGATGTGGGATCTAGTTCCCACATGCTGCAACTAAGATCAAAGATCCCTCATGCTGCAGCTAAGACCAGGTGCAGCCAAATAAATGAGTAAATATTTTTAAAAAGAAAGAAATTATTAATTTTGTAAGGGGTGGTTAAGGGCATGATGGTTATATTTTATTTAAATTCTTGTCCATTAGAACTGCGTACTGAATTATTTACAGGTGGAATATTCAAATACTTTAATTTACTATATTCCCCTCACCTTGCTTATTTTTTTCCCTTAACTTCAAATACTCCAACAAAAGAAGCTTGTGTGCAGTGGGGGTGAAGAATAGATGGAAGAGGATTGCCTAAAAGTTAATTGTTGAAGCTGGGATGAGCTCATGAGGAGTCATTGAATTATTATCATTGCTTTCTTGTATGTTTAAAAATCTTCATTATAAAGAGGAAAAAAATCTCCCTTCTAAAGTCTCACATGACATTGCCAAGCTTCTGACTCAGTAGGCTCATATGAGAGGCAAGAATCACCAACCTCAGATGATTCTGATGCATTGGTTACTACAACCCAGTCTTGAAAAACATGAATCTAAACATTAAAACCTAAGTAGAGGAACATATTTTTGTTCTTTTGAAAAAAAAATGGTGTGAGGGAGGCTTAAGAGGGAGGAGATATGTGTATACTTATGGTTGATTCATGATGTTACACATCAGAAACCAACACAACATTGTTAAGCAATGATCCTCCAATTAAAAAAATTTTTTTAATGTAGAACACTCAAAATGTTATCACAAAAAAGTAAATAAATACATCTCCAAATTCAGGACAATTTAAGAATCCAGAAGAATAATGACAATAGCAGAATGTAACATATTAAATAAAGAATAATTAATGTGAATTTATTGTGATAAAAAAAGAGGAAGAGAATGCATTTTTCTTAGATGCTAGCTAATAAACTTAGATAAAATGACAGAACACCTTGCAACCAACCAATGAAATAATTGATTCAGCAAAGATTATCAGTGAATGTTAAAACCTTTGGCTTGAGGAAGACAGGCTATTCATGCCATCTCAAAGTTTTACCTACAGGTTGCAAAGCAGGAAATGTGTACTTGTAATGGAGAGGCCTAGAATTCACATCACAGTAGAACCACAGGACATCCTGTGCCTCCCAATATGATGAAATATAAGTACAAAGTGTCACCTATGTGGTAGGCTTGCTTTTCTGAATCACGAGGAAACAGTCATGTAAGTCCACACTGTGGGACATTCTACAAGACAGATGGCCTAGACTCTTCCCAAAAAGCCAATGTCATGGGAAACAAAAAGGGTAGACATGTACCCTGAAAAAAAAGACTAAAGAGACATAGGCAAATGCAACATATGAAATGTAATTAGATCCTGAATCAAAGAAATTTTAAAAACAGCTATAAAAGATATTTTGGAGAGAATTGGGTTATTTAAAATATTTGGAAATTCCCTGGCAGTCTGGTGGTTAGGATTCAGAGCTTTCACTCCTGAGGACCCAGGTTCAGTCCCTAGTCAGGAAACTAAGATCCCACAAGCCCAACAGCACAGCCAAAAAAAGAAGTAAAAATGAATAAAGTAAAACATAGACTATATATCTGAGGATATTGAAGTTGAATATCATAGTCCTAAGGAAGGTGTTACAGTCTTTAAGGTTGGCATGTTATAACATCTGCAGTTAATTTTAAAGTAGTTCTGAAAAAATGCATGCACGTGTGTGTGTGTGTGTGTGTGTGTGTGTGTGTGTGTGTATGGATGAACACATTCTTCCATCTATGCATAATGCAGTTAGACCTAAAAGTTACCAATCAGTAGTATATCTAGTGAAAGGATATATGATGTTAATTATACTAGTCTTTCAACTTTTACTGTGTACTTGAAATTTTAAAAATGGGGAAATAGTAAAAATAATAACAAAAGAAATATTTGTCTCAAAAAATAAAAATAAATGCATTAAAAATAATTCATTTCTCCTTCTGTCTGCCTCTTCTTTTCTTTCTCAGGTACACTGTCAGCTTCTTATTAATCATCACCCAGCTGGGCTTCTGCAGTGTTTATTTTATGTTTATGGCAGACAATTTACAACAGGTAAAGAGGCCTCTCCTGGGCAGAGTGGGGGAAAGCAGACCTCTTGCTGCTAGGGTTGCATTAGCAAAAGTAAAGTTTTTGGATCATGGTAGGAGAGGCTTTATTTCTACTCCCTAATCAGGCTTCGGTTGGGAGTTCTTTCTGTCCTGGGAATCACTCTTTAAACAGATCATAGGGAAGCCAAAGCAACATCTGAGGAATGCAGCCAGGTTGGCTTACAGTCCTGTCCAATCAGAAATAATTGAGAATTTTTAGCCTGGAAGAGTTGATGAGATTTTCTTTAGGTGTCTCAAGGTTGTCATGTAGAAGATAACTAAAGCAAATAAGTTGCAATCTTTCCTCATTGCATTCCTAACAGGCATTATAAGTCAATCATAGCATACTTTCTTGGCTTCATGAAATAGAAGCAGTATACTTGTTTTTGTGCATTCAAATAGTCAAAACTATGACAAGCATTATGGATACAATATTCAAGCAGACAGATTTTGCTCAAATTCTTAGCTTTCTAACTTTTAGGACTATCTAAAGTTGAAGAAGATACTCCTGTGTAATCAACTCCTGTTCTCTGGATATATGAAAGAAAACTATTTGGTACATCAGAAGAGGTTGGGCTAGATGACAGAATGATGCTTCAGCTTTGAGATTTGATGATTCTAAGGGTTTCTGGTTATCACAATCATGGGTACTACAGTTTAGGGTTACCAAATGTGACAAAAGTATAGGAAACCCAATTAAGTTGAAATTTCAGATAAGCAGCAATTTGTTTTTTATTACAAGTGTATCTTTGTATAATATTTGGAACATATTTTTACTAAAAAGTTATCTGTTAATTACCTGAAACTGAAACTTAACTGGGTTTCCTTTGTTAATGTAGCAGCTATAATTATACTGCCTTTCATTGTGCTTCACATCAGATGGTGGAAGAAGTCCACGTGACCGCCAAAACCTGCGAACCCAGGAAGATCCTGGTGCTGACCCCCAGTGTGGACATACGCTTCTACATGCTGACAATTCTGCCCTTCCTGATCCTGCTGGTGTTTATCCAGAACCTCAGGGTGCTGTCCATCTTCTCCACGCTGGCCAACATCACCACCCTGGGGAGCATGGCTCTGATCTTTCAGTATATCATGCAGGTCTGTGCCCAAAACCACTGCAGAAGGATCAAGGTCCAGGGCTTCTGAGACACTCATTATGGGCAGATGAGAGCGAGAAAGGTGACCTCCTGCTCAAGTGATGTCTGTGAACTCTTCTGCCCCACAGGTTATAAAAGCTACTCACCGTCATCATCACTGTCGTCACATTAGATAGCAATGGGTCTTTCAACAAATAGTTATTGATACCTTCTGTGATCCAAGCAATGTACAGGGAACAGGGGATTCATTGATAAGTAAAACTGACAAGCTGTCTGCTCTCATGGAGGCTACAATCACTTGAGGAGATAAACCTCAGTCAAGTAACCAACGAAAATTATAATAGTGATAGGTTGCTATATGGATGATAAAGGAATTCGATTTGCTTTGTGCCAATTTCTTTATGTTGATTAACTCACTAAATCTTCACAATGATGCTGTTACGGAAGTAGTGCTACTTAATCCCCACTTCACAGACAAGGAAACTGATAAACAGTAATTTTTCCCCGAAATACAGTCATTTTGCCTCACAAAGCCCATGCTTTGCTATCAGTATAGGCCCTGAAATTCCCTATTACAGTTTCATTTCTTTGCAAGTCTCTGGGGTTGTATTAGTTTTCTGCTGCTGCTGTGACAAATGACCACAAATCTAGTAACTTAACACAGAATTATCTCAGAACTCTTGAGGTCTCACTGGGCAGGGCTGCATTTCTTTCTGGAAGCTTCTGGGGAGAATCTGTTTCTTTGCCTTTTCCAGCTTCTAGAAGCCACCCTCAAGCCTTGGCTCATGGCCCACTTCCCTCTTCAAAGCCAGCAGTGTCAGGCCATGTCTTTCTCATGCTGCCATCTCTCTGGTTCTCTCTCCTGATTCCCTCTTCCACTTTAAAAGACCCTTGTGATTACACCAAACCCACCCAGATAATCCAGGGTAATCTCCTACTAAATTTAGCTTATTAGGTACCTTAATTCAGTCTAGAAACTTAATTCTCCCTTGCCAAGTAATGTAACATACTCAAGGTTCCAGGGATTATGATGTGGACATTATTCTGCCCACAGAAATCTTAATAAAATAATCATTCCTTCTAGATCGGTGGTAGCTGCTGTGCCAATACTTCACAGCTCTGAGAAAAGTTATGGGAAAGAGGTATTAGAGAACTGGAAAACACAAGACCTGAATTCATATCTGGGCTGTGCCACTGACTGGTAGAGTGGCCTTGGGCAATTCCTTCTCCTCCCCGGGTTCTATTTTCCATGTAAAGATGTGGTAAATCAAAATTAAACATATATAACGTATTCCTTGGGAAGGAATAAAATTCTGATCCATGCCTTGAGGACAATATGCTTAGTGAAATAAGTCAATCCCAAAAAGAGAAATATAATATGAGTTCACTTATATGAGGTACCTAGAACAATCAAATTTATAGAGACAGAAAGTCAAATAGGCATTTCCAGGGGGGCTGGGTAATAGGGAGTTGTTATTTAATGGGTGCATAGTTTCAGCTGGGAATGATGATAATATTCTGGAGGTGGAATTGGTGATGATTGTACAACAATGTGAATGTTCTTAATGCCACTGAATTGTACACTCAAGATGTTTAAAATGGTAAATTGTATGCTATGTGTAAAAGAAGTAACTTTTTTTTTTCATTTATTTTTATTAGTTGGAGGCTAATTACTTTACATCATTGCAGTGGTTTTTGTCATACATTGAAATGAATTAGCCATGGATTTACATGTATTCCCCATCCTGATCCCCCCTCCCACCTCCCTCTCCAACCGATCCCTCTGGGTCTTCCCAGTGCACCAGGCCCGAGCACTTGTCTCATGCATCCAACCTGGGCTGGTGATCTGTTTCACCCTAGATAATATACATGTTTCGATGCTGTTCTCTTGAAACATCCCACCCTCGCCTTCTCCCAGAGTCCACAAGTCTGTTCTATATTACTCAGCCATTAAAAAGAATTCATTTGAATCAGTTCTAATGAGATGGATGAAACTGGAGCCCATTATACAGAGCGAAGTAAGCCAGAAAGATAAAGACCATTACAGTATACTAACACATATATATGGAATTTAGAAAGATGGTAACAATAACCCTATATGCAAAACAGAAAAAAAGACTCAGATGTATAGAAGCAACTTTTTTAAAAGTTGAGAAGGATGCATGAGACAAGTGCTCGGGCCTGGTGCACTGGGAAGACCCAGAGGGATCGGGTAGAGAGGGAGGTGGGACGGGGGATCGGGATGGGGAATACATGTAAATCCATGGCTGATTCATGTCAATGTATGACAAAAACCACTACAATATTGTAAAGTAATTAACCTCCAGCTAAATAAAATAAATGAAAAAAAAAAAGTTGAGAAGGCTGACTCAGCTGTAGATCTCTCATGGGTGCTTCTAATACTGTCCCTGTTGACATCAGGCAAGCCTAACTCTCTACCAGATTTGGGATGACTTCTATGCCTTGGAAAAACCAATGCCTTTCTTCTTCCTTTTAGGAGATTCCAGATCCCAGGAACCTACCGTTGATGGCAAGCTGGAAGACCTTCTTACTGTTCTTCGGTACAGCCATCTTCACATTTGAAGGCGTCGGCATGGTAAGATGCGTGTGGGATTCGAGAGTCCCCAGTTCTCTCTATGGAAGCCAGTCTTTGTTCTAAATAGTAGTACTTATGAAAAATGCAGAATATGATCTCGTGGCAGAAGGGAAAGTCAGTCCCCATTTGCAGGATGCCACCTGCTCTGTACACCACACCAAGCCTTGAAGATGGGGCACTCTTGGTTATAGAAAATGTGGGAAGAGATGAAAGGGCATGTGGACCCTTCCTGACTCTGGGCCACCTGGAGAAGGATGTCTGTCCTTGAGAGGAAACCTGCTTTCTCTCCTTCTACCTTTTCTTTCTTAACCTCCTTTCACCTCCAGGTTCTACCTCTCAAAAACCAGATGAAGCATCCACAGCAGTTTTCCTTTGTTCTGTACTGGGGGATGTCCCTTGTCATCGTCCTCTACATCTGCCTGGGGACACTGGGCTACATGAAGTTTGGCTCGAACACCCAGGCCAGCATCACCCTCAACTTGCCCAATTGCTGGTACGTCCCTGCCCATCTGGGGCTGGGGGGAAGAGGTGGGAAGTCACAGAGTCTGAGCCTCAGCAGCAGAATGGGGCATCCTGAGTCATTATCAACAACTAAATATTGACAGCTAGTATCTGTATTATAATAACAGGTGCATTTAATAATCCAGGCATTGTGTATCATCTCATTTAATTCTCTCAACAGCCCTGTGGGTTAGCATTATTATTATCAACTCCATTGAATTAGATGAGGAAGTTGATATGTGAAAAGGCTGTAAGTAACTTTCCCAGTTCATGTTGTTCATGAGAAGTTGAAACTGAATTCTGTCTGACTCTATGGTTCAAAGGCTTTCAAATAGGAATGATCTGGGAGGGCTTAGGGAACAGAAACAGCAACAACAAAAAGTATAACTCTGAAGTAATGATTGAGGGTCCTGCGTATGGACAACTACTCAGGTCCCCAATTCCAGAAATAGGCCTAGACTGCCATTGCTGTGCCCCACTTGGAACTTTGACTGAAGTTCTTACATTAATCATTCATTCATTTACTCATTCATTCATTCATCCAGGAAACATTTGGGGCACTGGCATATACCATTCATTGAGTATTAGCCATTGTCCTTTTTCTGACAGTAGTAGGTCCAGAATGACTAAGCTGTCAGTAAAACCAGTGCTTAAGAGCACAGATTCTACATCTGAGCAATGGGATTTGATCCTGGTTCTCATGTGACCTTGGACAAGCTTCCTAATCTTGCAGACCTCATTTCCATCCTCAGTAAAATAAGGATAATACTCTTGCCTATTTGTATCAGTCAGGATAGGTTATGCTCTGGTAATAAACAGAATAAGCCACTTCAGAATCTCAATGGCTGGACACACACAAATGTTTAATTGTATGCTCATGCTACATGTCCATTATGGGGTAGCTGGGGCTCAGCTTTGCACCATCACCACTTCCAAGACCCAGACTGATCAGCCAGCCACTCCCTGAAACTTCGTTGGTTGCCACGGCAAAGAGCACATTGAATCACACCCTTCACCATGAAGGCCCTAAAATTTCTCTGGGAAGTGACCTGTCTCTTCTGTTCATACTTCATCAGTCAAAGCAAGTGACCATGACTCACTCCAGAGGACACAGAAGTGAAATTCTGCCACATGTCTGGAAGACTCGGAAGTATTTGGTGAGCAGCTGAGCAGCACAAATGACTGCCACACTGTCTCTTAGGGAGTGACTGTGAGGGCAGATTGGCTTCAAATACATAAAATTCTTAGAAAAGTGTCTGGTATGCAGTACATGCTCACTGAGTATTAGCTTATTATCATTGTTAGTCTCCCCCACAGCCTTGGTCTTTTGGAAGTCAGTAGAATGTTGGGGGTGGGAGGAAACCAGATCTGAAAGAGACACGTGTACCCCAATGTTCATCGCAGCACTGTTTATAATAGCCAGGACATGGAAGCAACCTAGATGCCCATCAGCAGATGAATGGATGAGGAAGCTGTGGTACATATACACCATGGAATATTACTCAGCCATTAAAAAGAATTCATTTGAATCAGTTCTAATGAGATGGATGAAACTGGAGCCCATTATACAGAGCGAAGTAAGCCAGAAAGATAAAGACCATTACAGTATACTAACACATATATATGGAATTTAGAAAGATGGTAACGATAACCCTATATGCAAAACAGAAAAAGAGACTCCTATGTATAGAACAGACTTGTGGACTCTGGGAGAAGGCGAGGGTGGGATGTTTCAAGAGAACAGCATTGAAACACGTATATTATCTAGGGTGAAACAGTTCACCAGCCCAGGTTGGGTGCATGAGACAAGTGCTCGGGCCTGGTGCACTGGGAAGACCCAGAGGGATTGGGTGGAGAGGGAGGTGGGAGGGGGGACCGGGATGGGGAATACATGTAAAAAAAAAAAAAAAAAGAACTATTTTCAACAATGGAAAAATAAATAAATAAACATATTGTAAACAGTTTAAAAAAAAAAAAAAACAAAAAAAGAATGTTGGGGGTGGGAGGTGGAGGGTGTTCATTTCCCATGAAGCCACAGCTGTAAAATGAGAAAAATATCACCAATCCTACCTGTTTCACTGTGTTGTGGTAATGACTGGATGAGATATTTAATGTGGAATTTCCTTGAAATTGTGACTTATTTTATACCAGTAAGATATCAACTTAATAGGCTGTTCTTATCTGGGCAGTTTGGGTTGCCACTACCTTGGGCAGGGCACTTTCCTTCTGGGATATCAGCTGGAGAAAATGGGCATCAGGTGCCATAACAACCTCATACCTTCTCTGAGCCTGGCTGGTGATGAGATTCTCCAGGAGAGCCTTAAAGAAGGAATAAGCAAAAGACCAAGAAGAAATGGGTGTGAACAAATAGTTCACAGGCAAATTAAAACAAAAATGGCAATTTATATATTTGAAATCTGGTCTATCTCTCTCCTAATAATAGAAATGTCAGTTTTACAAAATACAATGGCACAAACCAGCATGTGTTCACACACTGTGTTTTTCCAAGGATGGAGGGTAGCAGGCACTCCACTGTGCTCAGACAACAAATGGGCAATATGTCAAGAGCTATCAAAATTTTACTTTTTATTTCTTTTTATTGAGGTATAGTTGATGTACAATGTTACATAAGTTTCCAGTGTATAACATAGTCACAGTTTTTATTAATAAATGTTATGTTCCATTTATAGTTATTATATAATATTGGCTATATTCCCTGTGTTGTACCATATATTCTATAGCTCACTTATTTTATACATAGTAGTTTGTACCCATTAGTTTCCTACTCTTATCTTGCCCTTCCCTCCACCCTTTTCCTCACTGGTAACCACTAGTTGGTTCTCTATATCTGTGAATGTGCTTCTTTTTTGTTATATTCACTAGTTTATTTTTTAGATTCCACATGTAAGTGATGCTATACAGTATTTGTCTTTATCTGTCTAACTTATTTCACTTTAGCATAATACCCTCTAAGTCCATCCACACTGTTGCAAATGGCAAAATTTCATTCTTCTTTATGGCTGAGTAGCATTCCATTATGGGCTTCCCTGGTAGCTCAGCTAGTAAAGAATCCACCTGCAATGCAGGAGGCCCTGGATGGATTTCTGGGTCAGAAGATCGCCTGGAGAACAGACAGGCTTCCCACTCCAGTATTGTTGGGCTTCCCTGGTGGCTCAGATCTACCTGCGGTGCAGGAGACGTGGATTCAACACCTGTTTTGGGAAGATCCACTGGAGGAGAGCATGGCAACCCACTCCAGTAATCTTGCCTGGAGAATCCCATGGACAGAGGTGCCTGACAGGCTACAGTCCATGGGGTCACAAAGAGTCAGACACAACTGAGCAGCTAAGCACAGCACAGCATTCCATTATATGCATATACCACATCTTCTTTATTTTTTCATCTGGTGCTTCCGTATCTTGGCAGTTGTAAATAATGCTGTGATAAACGTAGGGGTTTCCCTTGTGGCTCAACTGGTAAAGAATCTTCCAGCAATGCAAGAGACCTGGGTTCCATCCCTAGTTTGGGAAGGGAAAGGCTACCCACTCCAGTATTCTGGCCTGTATAGTCCATGGGGTTGCAAAGAGTTGGACACACCTGAGCAACTTTCACACAAACATAGGAGTACATGTATCTTTTTGAATCGGAGTTTTAATTTTTTTCAGTTACATACCCAGGAGTGGAATTACTGAGTCATATGGTAGTTCTGTTTTTAGTTTTTTAAGGAACTGGTATGTATACTGCTTTCCACAGTAGCTGCACTAATTTACAACAGTGTGTGAGGGTTCCCTTTTATGAGAGCTGTCAAAATGTTAAATCACATATACTTTTACCCAGCATTTTTACATCTGGGGTTGTATGCTGTATGTGCATAGGTATTTGTACAAGCATATTCTTTGCTGCATTGTTTATTGACAGAAGACTAGGAATAAGCTAAATGTCTATTAATTGGGGAGCAGTTAAAACTTATAAAAATATATAACTAGTAAGAACCTGCTTTATAACACAGAGAACTCAATTCAGTACTCTGTAATGACCTATATGGGAAAAGAATCTAAAACGAAAGAGGGGATATGTGTATATATATATATGTATATATATATATATATATATATATATATATATATATATATATATACCTGATCCACTTTACTATATACCTGAAACTAAAACCATTGTAAATCAACTATACTCCAATAAAAATTTCTTTAAAATTAAACAAGTTATAGTATATCCATGCAATTGGAATATCAGCAGCTATTAAATAGAAGAACCAGATCTACGTATACTGAAGGGGAACAATATCTAAGAAATATTTAATGAACAAAAACAAATCAGTGGTATGTAAAGGATGCTTCTGTATGTGTACCTACATTCTGTATAAGTTTGTGTCTGTGGTATTTCTGGAGGGGCTTCAAGAAAATTGTCAGAGGAGTTGCCTGTGGAGGGAGGAACTGGAGACTGGGAATCAAAGGTGGGAGGGAATGTGATCTTTGTACTGTGAACTTTACTCTATGCAGCTATACCTTTAAAAAAAAAAGAAGGAAAAAAAAGGCACAGATTCCTGAGCTACAAGCCTATTAAACGAGAATCTCCAAGAATGTGCACTTTTAATAAACTTCCCAAGTGGCTCTAATGGCAAGTCAGGCTGAGTCAGTGGAAGTTAGGTAGTGATATAACTTAACAAGTCCCAGCTTCCAAGCAGTGAGCAAACCCTGTATGGCCCTGCCCTGGAGCCACATCTAATTTCATGTGGTGTCCCTCTCTCTCTACAGGTTGTACCAGTCAGTCAAGCTGATGTACTCCATCGGCATCTTCTTCACCTATGCCCTCCAGTTCCACGTCCCAGCTGAGATCATCATCCCCTTCGTGATCTCCCAGGTGTCAGAGAGCTGGGCGCTGTTTGCAGACCTGTCTGTCCGCACAGCCTTGGTCTGTCTGACCTGTGAGTAGGACGAAAGGGCTCTCTGCCCAAAGCTGTGGCTTGGAGCCACACTGACCGCTACCCCACTATTGCTGGCTCGGCCACCAGCCAAGCAACATATTTTACCTCCCTGAGCCTCAACTTTCCAGCTGAAAAATAGATTAACAGAACTGTCACAGAGTAAATGTTACAGTAATCTCTACTATCTACACATAGAATATATTAGCTAGTTTGTGGGAGAAAGAAGTGTCATTTATTCATTCCTATATGCCTCCTATATGTCAGGCACAACACTGAGATTATGTAATACTCAGGACAGCCTAACTATGTAATATTACCAGCTGAAAGAACTGTGACCCAGGAAGTGAAGTAACATGCTCACATCATATAGCTGCTAAGTGACAGAGTTGAGATTTGGATGCAGGTTGTGTGGCACCAAAATCTGTGTGTTTCCACTGTGCCATATTCCTTCCTATCAAAAATTAATGTGAAGTCCTCTGAAGGTGGTGTTTAACTATAGGAAGAACCTCAAAGGGCTGATTTGTTAAATTTTTGGAAGTCATTTTCTCCTCCCTTCCCCCATCCCTCCCTTTCTTCCTTCTATTCATTCATTCATTTCCTCATTCATTTTATATCAGGTGCCATTGTAGAAGTTTGGGAAACATTGTGAATAGGGCTGGGAAATGCTTTCTCTAAGAAAATTTAAAATGGTGGCCTATGAGGAATGAAGGAAAGAATTAGGGAGGTTTTGCCTGGAGAAACAAAAGTTTGGGTAAATTCTGTATCTGTATCTCAAACAACTGTAGGATTATTGTGCAAGAGAGAGAGTAAATTTCATCTTAAAGTGTCCAGGACTGTGTGTTTACAGTTGAGGGAATCCCGTCTCAGTTCATGGTCAGAAGAAAGTAAGGCTTGGAGCAGACCAACAGAATAGTACACTGCCAGATGCGATGCTCCCTGTAACTGGAGTTCTAGAAGCAGAAACAGCACAGCTGCTTGGCTTAAAGGTGTTCCACAAGATTCCCAGTCTGTATCAAGACATCAGGAACCTGTAAGTGTATTGTGTTGAGGTCATTCCCAGGAGGAAAGGTGTCTACTGAAGAGGAGCACTGAGTAGTTCAGGTCACTTGGTATCAGGGACCAAGCATCACTGGAGACAGCTGACTTTCAGTGACATGTGCTGCTTCTGTTCCGCACTGAAAGACCTCTTCCTCGCTTACTCATCTGCCAGTTCAGTTATCCTTCACTCATTCAGCAATCATAATTACCTACTATGTGCCTGACATTGTCCTAGGTGCTAGGGATACAATAATGAATCATGGAAAAGACATGGTTCCTGCTTTGAATTTGAGTGGGAAATATATGCAGGGAAATAATTATAGCACATTGTGGTGAACGTGAAGATGGCACACAGTGATGTACCAGATGATAGTTAAGACTGTAAGAGGAGGCTGATCTAAGAGCACCTGAGAAGGTCCTATAACTTAGCCTGAACCAAGTCAGGAAGTCCTCTCCACTGGCGTAATATTAAGACCTAAAGATAATTAAGAATCAGGGAGAAGTAGAGAATGTACCACATATAGGGAGCAGGGTATGCAAAGATTGGAGGCCAGTACTTACATATGGCTTCTTTAGAGAACTGAAAGCATAGGGGAGGATAAGACACAAAGCAGATCCAAGTCTTAAGGGACCTTGTGCTAAGGAGATCAGGCAGTGGGGAGCCATGGAAGGGCCCTGAGCAATGGGTTAGCATGACCAGATCTGACCCTTCTGGAGCACTCCTTCACTCCACATTGCATAATAGCTTTCTGTGAATATGTCTTCTCTCTGCGCTATCTGCATGAGCTCTTCTAAAGAACAGACACTGACTTTTCTCTGTTCCTCCTCCAGTAAGTAATTTATTAAATGTCTAATGAAGTGGCGCTGTGGATGAGGATCATCCCATCAGAGAGGTGATGGATTCTCAACTGTAAGAGTCTATGAGTCTGTCTCGTTCTTTGGTTAGATGTTCTATAGCAGCTTCAAAAAGAGGTGTTGTTTTCTTCAAGAGCCAGTAAGCTAGTATGAGTGCTTTCCATAAGAGGTTTTTCTTAATTTATTCATAGGAAAATCATATGGCTGTGTAAAGTTAAATTGCATAAATTATTAATATATATATTTGTTCATTCAAATATTATCAAAATTGGACACCCCCCCGAAAATCCATGATACATGTTCATTGTATTTATAAAATACGGAAATCTAAGAGTGTTAATGGGAAGAAAAAAGAAAGTGAGTGAGCCACCTAATGCTGTCTGCATGTTCTATGTCTTCCTTTATTATCAGGTTCCTTCTAAGAGTAGGAAAACCAGTGGTTGAGATCCTGACAGCAGCATAGCCATCTTTTATTGCTTATCCATCCTTGCTTCTAGACAGTGACTGTATTGTGTCAATCAGTACAACTTGACTGTAGATGCGGTGTCTGAGTATGGGTCAAGCATTTATCAAACACTTACAGTGTACCAAGTTCTTTCACATACATTAGAGGCAGCCTAGTAGGGTAGAAAGGGCCTTATGTTGGGCATATCATTGGATTCTCATCTCAGCTGTATGTGACCTTGGGCATGACCCATTCCCTCTAGAGTTCTAGACTTCCCCAACTCTGCAATGAGAAGATCATTACAGATGGGTGATAGAGAATCCTTATCAATAAATATTATATGTGGAAAAACTCAATATATAAAGCATGAAAGGAGAACATGTATATTGGTGTTAAAACAGATGTGGAAGTCCAGAGCCACAGTGCTTGATCTGCTGCTCAAGTTCACAATGAGTTCCTTTCCCACCTCTCCAGACGGTGTCTCAGGTGTCTGGGAATTGTAAGGCTCCAAACAAATGGTTTGTTTCTGGGCTCCCTTCCTGAAGGAACATTCCATGATTCTAAACCTCTTCTCCCCCCTCAGGTGTCTCAGCCATCCTCATCCCCCGCCTGGACCTGGTCATCTCCCTGGTGGGCTCCGTGAGCAGCAGTGCCCTGGCCCTCATCATCCCTCCCTTCCTGGAGCTCATCACCTTTTACCCTGAAGACATGAACTGTACCACCATTGTGAAGGACATCATGATCAGCATCCTGGGCCTTTTGGGGTGTGTATTTGGAACATACCAAGCCCTCTATGAATTGACCCAACCCATCAACCATTCCATAGCCAACTCCACAGGTGTCTATGCATAATTATCTATTTTTATTCTGATAGTTCTCCCATATTCCCATTCCCAGTTTGACTTCTGTTGTGGATGTTATATACATTCATCAAACCCCAGCATCTCTATATTAATTAGTGGCTTCTTTATCTTTCCAAGAGAAATGTAGATGATACAAGTCAGTACTGGTACCTTTCAGGCTATGTCTTTTCTGGTTTTTGGATTTCTCTGGAGGCCTTTTGTACCTGTGAACCAAAACCACATTCAACCACTCGTGTTATCTGCTTCATTTAATGGGAAAAAGGATGCCATTTGCCCACATCATTGAAATAGACCAAGCATAAATATAAATGCGAAAGCAGTTATTCTCTCTATCCTGCCCTTGAAGTACAGGTTTAGAAAAGTATGTTGGGTGAAGACGAGTTTCTATGGTTTCTAGATATGGTTCTAAGTGAAGAGTCACAGAACAAAAATAGAACTTAGTAGTAATTTTGTCTAGCCATTGGCTCTGCCACTGACTTCCTGTGGGATCTTGAGCAAGTTTCTCCCCCTCTCCATCTCATTTTCACATTCTTTGAAATGAAGGATTAGACTGATTGGCTATTAAGGGCTCTTCCAACTCTGACATTCTAAAAGAAAAAAAAAAAAAAGAAATGGACTTATCCTTTAACCACGTGTGTGAAAATTGAAGGGCTTTCCAACAGCAAGTTACCCTGTTGCCCTGGAGATATGGGATCCCAAAAGTAAATTAAGGGATAAAAACATTTCTTAGCAATCTTTCATTACAAATGACTTTCCTACTTAGAAGGATATCAGCTGTCTCTTTCTTTTCATCTTCCTCTCTCTCTCTGCCCCCTCTCCCTCCCCAACCCATCCTACCTTCTCACATACCTTAAGACCACTTAGAGCTGATTTAGGCTAAAGAGACTGAGCAGTTTGTGTGACAGAAAGGATTTCATCATGTACAAGGACTACTGACCTTTTAAAAATAATACTTACTTTTGGTAAGGGGTTGGAAAAACAGACAATCTTATATTCTGAAGATGGCAGAACACATTTTTATGACTTTTCTAGAGGGAAGTTTTACAATATATGTCTTAAAATGCATAGCCCTCTGACCCACTAATTTCACTTCCAGGGGTTTAATCTTAAGAATCTTTTATGTTTTCAAAAATGTATGCATTTTTTAAAAATTATTTTAATTTTAATTTTATTATTTTATTTTTAACAGCACCGAGTCTTTGTTAGTTGTTGTACACAGGCTTTCTCTAGTTGTGGTGTGCAGTCTTCTCATTGTAGTGGCTTGTCTCATTGCAGAGCACAGGCTCTAAAGTCACATGGACTTCTGTAGTTGTGGCATGCAGACTCAGCAGTTGCAGCTCATGTTTTCCAGAGTGCAGGCTCAGTATTTGTGGCACATGGCTTTAGTTGCCCCATGGCATGTGGAATCTTCCTGGACCAGGGATTGAACCCATATCCCCTGCATTAGCAGGCTTACTCTTAACCACTGGACCACCAGAGAAGTCCCTGAATGCATTGTTTATAACAGTAAAGAGTTGGAAACAAATATCCAACATTAGGTTAAACTATGATTCATCCAAAATAAAATGCTGTGATGCCCCCCAAACATTGCAAAATACAACATTAAAATGCCTATGATATACTTGTGATTTATCAGTTTTTAAAAGCTGGTTTAAAACACTATGTGAACCAAAGCTAGGCAAAGACATTGCAAGAAAATAAAGCTACAGAACAAAATTCTTCATGAACATAGATGTAAAAATGCTAAATTTTTAGCAAATCAAATTCAGCAATATATTAAAAGAATAGTACATCATGACCAAGTGGGGTTTATCCCCGGAATAGAGGGTTGGTTTATTATTTGAAAATTTGTGACTGGGAACAATTAGAAACTGCACTTACAAAAGCACCAAAAACATGCAATAGTCTGGGTTAATTCTGATGAAAGATGCGCAACATATGTACACCAAGATCTATAAAATACTGCTAGAGGAAATTAAGCCCCATTCAGTCCCATTACTTCATGGCAAATAGATGGGGAAAAAGTGGAAACAGTGACGGATTTTATTTTCTTGGGCTCCAAAATCATTGCGGATGGTGACTGCAGCCACAAAACTAAAAGACACTTGCTCCTTGGAAGAAAAGCTATGACAAACCTAGACAGCATATTCAAAAGCAGAGACATCACTTTGCCGACAAAGATCCATATAGTCAAAGCTATGGTTTTTCTAGTAGTCATGTGCGGATGTGAGAGTTGGGACCATAAAGAAGGCTGAGTGCTGAAGAATTGATGCTTTCAAACTGGTGCTGGAGAAGACTCTTAAAGGGCCCCTTGGACAGGAAGGAGATCAAACCAGTCTATCCTAAAGGAAATCAGTCCTGAATATTCGTTGGAAGGACTGATGCTGAAACTGAAGTTCCAGTGCTTCGGCCACCTGATGAGAAGAGCTGACTCTTTGCAAAAGACCCTGATGCTGGGAGAGATTGAGGGCAAGAGAAGAGGGCGACAGAGGATGAGATAGTTGAATGGCATCATTGACTCAATGGAGATGAGTTTGAGCAAACTCAGGGAGATGATGAAGGACAGGGAGTCTTGGCGTGCTCCATGGGGTCTCAAAGAGTTGGACATGACTTAGTGACTGAACAGCAAAAAAAATGGGGAGATATACGTCATTCATAGCTCATAAGACACATTATAGTTAAGCTGTCAATTGTCATCAAATTCAGCAAGGTATTTTAATTTTTTATAACTTAGCCAACTGATTTTTAAATTCACATGGAAATGCAAAGAAATTTAGAATTGCCAAAATATTTCTTGAAAAAGAGCAAGGTTGAAGAGCTAACACTGTTTGATTTTAAAAATTATAGCAGAGCTACTGTAATCCAAACTGCATGGTGTTGGGACTTCCCTGGTGATCCAGTGGTTATGACTCTGTGCTTCCAATGCAGGGGGCATACGTTCAATTCCTGGTCAAGGAACTAAGATCCCACATGCCATGCAGTGTGCCCAAAAACAAACCAAAAAACAACTGCATGGTGTTGGCACCAAAATTGACAAATAGTTCAGTGGAAAGAATAGAGAGTCCAGAAATAACTCTACACATATGTGGGCAACTTATTTTTGACAAAGGTTCAGAAGAAAAGGCAAGGTAGTAGAAAAAGGATCACCTTTTCAAGGAAGTTGTGTGCAAGAATTGGAAATCTTTGTGATCCCCTCCACCAAAACAAACAAACAAACAAACAAACTTGAATCCATACTTTACATCACATACAAAAAAATCAACTTAAAATGTATCTTAGATCTAAACATAAATGTAAAACTTAAAAATTGTTAGAAGAAAATACAGGAGAGAAAAATGTTATAACTCTTGGGCTAAGATCTTTCTTAGATATAATACCAAAAGCACAACCCATAAAAGAAGAAATTACTAAAGTGAACTCCATCAAAATTGAAATCTTTATTCTTCAAAAGGTGCTGTTAAGAGTATAGGAGGAAAAGTCACCATCTGGGTGAAGATCTTTGAGAAGCTTGTGTTTAATGAGATACTTACATTCAGAGTACATAAAGAACTCTTAAAGCTGAACAATTAGGAAACAACTTTTTTTAATGGGCAAAGAATATGAATGCATTCTTCACCAAAAAAAAATATACACAGATGGTGAATAAGCATTGAAGAGATGTCCCAACATCATTAATATTTAGGGAAATTAAAATTAAAACCATACATGGTACTACTGTATACCCATTAGAATGACTAAAACTTTTAAGACTGAGCATACTCATCAAGGATGTAGAGGAACTGGAACTCCCATATACTGTGGACAGACATGGTACAACCACTTTGGCAAACAGTTTGGTAGTTTCTTAAAAAAGTTCAACACACCTACCATATAATCCAACTATTCTATCTCAAGATATTTACCTGAAAGGAAAGGGATTTTCTACCTATAAAAAGACTTGTAAAAGGAACTTCCTAGCAGTCTAGTGGTTAGGACTCCATGCTTTCACTGCCAGAGGCACAGGTTCAACCCCTGGTTGAGGAGTAGGATCCTGCAAGCTGTACAGCACAGCCAAAAAAAGAAAAGACTTGTAGCCACATGTTTATGGTAACTGTATTTATAGTAGCAAAAGCGAAACAACCCAAATGTCCATCAACAAGTGAATGGATAAGCTGTGGTGTATCCAAGCCCTGGAGTACAATTCAGTGATAAATAGGAACAAACTGTCAATCCACACAATAATGTGGATGAATCTTTATTTTTGGCTGTGCTGGGTCTTCATCACTTCACAGGCTTTCTCTAGTTGTGGTGAGCAGGGGCTGCTCTTTGGTGTGAGGCACTTGGGCTTCTCATTTTGGTGACTTGTGTAGCACAGGCTCTCGAGTGCACGGGCTTCAGTAGTTGTGGAGCACAGGCTTAGCTGGTCCACAGTATGTGGGATCTTACAGGACCAGGGATCGAACTTGTATTCCCTGCATTGGCTGCTGGCAAATTGTATCATTCTATTCATTAAAAAAAAAAGCAACCTAACCTGTAGGGACAGAAAGAAAATCAGGTTCCTTGAAGGTGAGAGAGGTGAGCATGGGCATAAGGAAACTTTCAGAAGTGATGGATAATATGTTCACTATTTTGACTGTGAGGGTGGTTTCCCAGGTGTGTACATATGTCAAATTTTATTCAGTTGTACAATAAATAATTTCATTATATATCTGTTAAAACTAGAATGTGAAACCTGATGCCATTTTGGTTCTTTTTTTAAAAGCATGTATGCATATAGTCAAATAGTTTTGAAGGATATGTGCAACATATTTGGGTTTGCAAAATAATTCATTTCCATTTTTCTGAAGATGTTATAGAAAAACCTGAACAAACTTTGTGGCCAACCCTGTAAAATGTTACAGGAATTTTCTCCAAGTGGGTTCAATTATGAGTGAAATTTTACAGGTTTTTGTTGGTGGTGGTTTTGTTTTTGGGTGAGTTTTCGGGGTGTACATTTATTTATTTTTGGCT